CCTCTTTGTCGCTCGTTCCGCGCTCTCGCTTGCACTTCAAGCCTTAAATGGAACGCCTCAGAGCGAGGTAACGCCGCATGAGTCATGTTTTTTCGTGCGTGCAGCCGGCTCCATCGAATTATAAGACGTTGTCACGTCAAAAAATCTAAATTAATGGTAGCTGTGAGTAGTGGTATAATGGATGTCGGTGTTATAGAGGGATTATACAATAGATTGTACAAATCGCAGAATGTTATCCAACGCCGTAATTTTTTTAAAAAAATTATTGAGATGAGGCTAGTTTTACACTTATGTAATAGGTGTGTTTAAATTAGATAGTTGTGTAAAGTTATTTTGTGGTCTCTGCTTAGCGATTCTATTTTTTTTTTGTCTTTACTTATTATAATTATTATGACTTATGATCATAATTAATCAGTTACTGCACTTTTACGTCTAAGCACACTATCATCAAATAAATTGTACTTATGCATTAACGAACGTCGAGAAGATCGACTTCCTTATAGTAAGTCACGTCTTGCTATATGCGGCATATTGCGCTGCTGTCGATCATACACTACTCCGTCTATATCGATTAATTTCCTTCGCTTGGAAATGATCGATATACATTTGGACGCATACAAAATCAAAACAAAACAAAGCCGTTCTAGTTTTACAGAAAACGTTTCAAAACTTAATTAAAAACTCAACTGCAAATCACTGACATTTGATTATTAAAATAGAATTATAAACATGACTTTCTAGTTATTGTTTATAAGTTTCTCTTTACGATTGGGAAAGAACTTTTTTTAATTGGCGTTGCAGGACGAGATTGCGCAACGGACATCGACGACTGCGCTTCGAATCCTTGTAAAAATGGTGGCGAATGCGTTGATCAGGTGAACGGGTACAGATGCATTTGTCCTGTTGGATTCACCGGACATGAGTGCGAGGTGAGTTGTTTTACATTTTTCAGGCACGAAGGAACATTCCCCTACGCGATGTTTCTGCGAAATCAGATCCAACCCAGCGTGATTCTTACATTAACACGGAACGATATTTACGGTTACAGGACTACAAGACACTACAGATCTATGTAATATATATAGAGATATGTATATACAGGGTGACTAATCTAAACCGTTCATTAGGGGTTTATAAGAACTGAAAGGAAATATCGAGTTGGTGTACCTTTTTTACATATTCAATGGAAATATTTTCGATTCGATCTTTATTTCGTTATTTTAAATTAAATTACTCGATCTTGTGTATTTTTACCTTATTGAAAATTTTTATAAGAGTAATACCTTCAGTGTGTTCCACCTAAGGCGATTCGTCCATAACTCTGTTTCTGTATATTTCATAAAAAAGATGTTCTTATAGAGGTACTCTGGAATCATATGGTGCATATACAGAAAATATTTTTAGTCATACAGGGTGCTCTATTACTTTTGGACGCTATCTAACTTCGTTATTTTAAATAAAATAGGCTATATTTACACTTTTGGTTTCTTTGTTTAATTTTAGAACGACCTTGTTAACAGTTTCTATCAAAGTCAAAAATGTTTTTATAAAAATTGTCTGGAATCATATGGTGTGTACACAGAAATTTTTTTCAGTGATACAGGGTGCTCCACATCTTCTGCACTTTACCCAACTTCGATATTTTAAAAAGAACACCCTGTATATTTTTAGATTTTTGGTTTATTTATTCAACACGTTTCTGTATACATCTGTAGTAGTTTTGGAGATATTCAAGTGTTTTTGAAAAACAACACGATTTGAATGAGATCAAATAGCAACTAAACCATAAAGTTAAAAACCTGCTATTTAGGCAGTTCGTTTTAGCAAGAATTACCGTATTTTTTTTTTGCTATGGGCAAAATGTGTACGTTATTCTAGGTCGGAAATATCGAAACCTACTTTTGACAATCATACAAGGCGAATAACTTTCTTTTTTCAAAAGATATGACCCATATTAAATTATACCGTTCGATGCAAATTTAAAAGCTGTTTCTACTAAGTTTTAAATACTTATCTCTAATAATTTTCCAGAAAAGATAGGTTAGGTTAGGTTACTTATATTTAAAACTTTATATATCAGTATAGAACGGTATAACTTAATATGGGTCATTCCATAACCATAACCGTAACCGAAATCATAACCAACTAGTTTACACCAATCACCCTATATATACACTGAACATTTTCCTTTCAATTAGTAATTATTTAAGTTGTAATTTCAATTCTTTTGAATAATACGTACAGATATTAATCGGATAAACTAATCGGAACAACTAATAAACAAATGAATATGTTTGTTAATAACATTTTTTTTAAAAGGCCCTTTGGCAAATAACGATATTTTAGTGTAATTTGAATATATAGGAGGTTAAAACATTGTTTCCTTTCTCAATTTATAATGGATCACCCTATGTATATAATCTCTCGATGATTGCTAATCGAAAGTATATATTTTTATTCAAGCTATAAAGTATGACCGTCTATGAGATGTTAATTAAAAATTAAAATGGTTTTCACGCTACATTACACTTTATCGTTTTTAATAACCAGATATAAAAAGTAACTGTGGGAATGGAAATAAATAAAAATAAATAAATGCCTGTTGACACTTGTTATAAATTTTAGTTTACAATTTCTAATTGAGCATAATGCTGACAATTAGTATGAATATAAACAGCAGGGTCTGAAAGGTAATTTCTTTTTTTAATTTGGTTCGAACGTTTAATTTAGAATGACTACAACCATTGCGAACCGGATCCTTGTGAAAACGGCGCTCCTTGTTTTAAAACTCAGACCGATTACTACTGTCATTGTCCCGAAGGATGGCAAGGAAAAAACTGCACGGTTCCCAGGTCGAGTTGTGACAGTCCGCCATGTGATGAAGGTAAGCTATATAATCATAATTCGTATAATTCCTTCGAAAAACAGGAAAGAAAGTGTGTTAATTAATAAAAAATATATTTTGCTACAACACAGAAATAAAACTGAGATTAATCATCTTTTCTTCCTGTCATTTTTGTGAGAACGATGTGGAAATAGCTATCCACATCCTTTGTTACTGCTCTGCGCTAAGCGTAGACGTTACTACCTTTTACTAAAAAAGGGAAGTTAAGAGATGGCAAGTGTTTTTGCAGTATGAATAAGCCTAAACTCTACCATAATTATAATAATAATAATATAATAATATACAATCGACGTTTCGCCTTCATCAGTAAGGTGATTTCATGGTATATTAATAATTAAAGAAGTTTTATCCCAAAAGGCGAAAACTTGCAGGTAATATATTTTATTGACCGTTCTACCCTGTGGCAAGAAATCATGATGCACTACGCCCCTGTAATCGAAAAAAACTGTAAGCAAAACCTTCACATTCAACCTTGGCGCCCTTTTTTCGGTAGCTTCCATTGGGATGATTGAGCTTTGGTTTCCACGTCATAACCATAAACCCATGATTCGATGATTTGACAGAGTCCAACAGCTCCTTAGCAATTTTAATGTGATGCTATTTTTGCTCGAAATTGAAATTTTGGTGTGAATTTCGCGGCGACCCGTCTCATGACCAAGTTATTGGTAAAAATCGAATGGCAGGAGCCAATTGATATGTTTAGGTACTCAGTAACTTCTCTAACGGTGATTCGACGATTGGCCAATACTATTTTTTTCACTTCATCAATGTTTTCGTCTGTTGCTGACGTGCTCGGGCGTCCGGTACGCTCTTCGTCGTTCACATCTTCTCGGCCTTCTGAGAACATTTTGCACATCCGATAAACGTTGCTTCGGTCCAAGGTAGCTTCATCATATGCGACAGTCAACATTCGGAATGCGTACGCGCACTTAATTTTGTTTTTCACATAAAATTTGATACAGATTCTTTGATCAATTTTTTAAAATAGGCAAAAATCGAAGACGAGCGAAAACAAGTGCAAGCAAATTAACTGAGCATTCAACATGGCCGAACCTGTAGGTATAAGTGAGAGACATGAGTACCAACATAACACCACAAAAATCGAAAGTCGAATATACATACATAACCCGCGGAAATTCAAAATTCACGATACTTTTTGAACAGACCTAGTATATATTAATAAAATAGATTAGTTAGTTTGTGAAATCAAAATGACCGTGTTTTCTTAAACTTATACGATTATTTGGGTGCTATGGAGACATAAACGACCTTTAAATAAATGTTTTGTCGGTATGTCTTTCTGTCAGTACGAATTAATCTTCAACTTGGTTGAACTAATTTCGATGTAACATATTGGTTGTTGTTTGTACTGTACAGTCTGTAGGTACCTGACAGCAATTGTTTCTTGCACTCGTCAGTTCTCAGACCCCAACATAATTAAAAAAAAAACTTCCTGGTCATGAACCTTCTAAACTCGCTCTCCGTGGCTGCGCCACTGCCTGTAACTAGCTTCTAATTTTTATTATACGTATTATTATCTCGAGAAGGCAGTGGCGGCTCGTGTGTAAGTGAAGAATTGTAGAAAACCTAATAATTTAAATTGGTCAAAATTAGCATCATTTCTTTCACGCTTTATTTTACGCATCTGCCTCTTCGTTTGGGCATTTATTAGATATGTTAGGTCTATTTCAAGGGAAATTTAAAATCATAAATCATAATTTAATATACTTTTCTGTACGAAATTTCTACATTTATTTGTAAAACAAACATTAATTATAACAGGAATGATACTTGTTTTGTGAATATTGTCAATCTCGATAATATCAAGAAAATAGGCGATGAGCCTGAATAGTCGCCACTGCGGGAAGGGAAGAAATGTTTATTTTCTTGTTTTCGTGAAAGAGGGTAAATCTTCAAGACACCCAACCGTACGTACGACTGGGTCGTGTTGGATTCCCGGAGGTGTCCTCGGACCTACTGATTAAAACTCCTCTACCACAGGCAGTTATAGGACCTATCAATTCAGGTCTTCTTCAGACGTGGGGGAAGAAATGGAAATTAAACGGTCTTTATTCGCTATGTGCAAAAGTGACTGTAGCGCTGTCTGTGACCAATTTTCAAACTTCTCAGTGAGAAAAATACGTTTAAGCTAAATTAAATACATTTAAAATAAAATAATTGGAAAAATATCATAATATTTAAACTAGTCAAGGAGGAGTGGTTATATAATAATAATAATAATGAATAAAATTATTCGAACTGGTTTTCGAAGATAACTTATTCTATTAAATTTAATCCTCAAACAATTCTGAAAGGTAAAGCTTTGGCCATTCTTCATGACATGAGAGTTGAAGAATTAGATGGTTGTGACTATTTTGATGTGGTGTAGTGTCATCAGGCACACTTCAGTTACTTTATCACCTTATAAAGTAGAATTAAAGGCAAGTTAATTCTGATTAAATGTAAATAAGGTTATGATAATATAAGATTAGAATTTTTGAAGATAACTTATTCTATTAAATTTAATCCTCAAACAATTCTGAAAGGTAAAGCTTTGTCCATTCTTCATGGCATGAGAGTTGAAGAATTAGATGGTTGTGACTATTTTGATTAGGTGTAGTGTCATCAGGCACACTTCAGTTACTTTATTACCTTATAAAGTAGAATTAAAGGCAAGTTAATTCTGATTAAATGTAAATAAGGTTATGATAATATAAGATTAGAAAATTATTCGTT